CTTTTTATTTGACTAAAATCAAAAAAGAAAAGCTACGTATATAAAAAGCAATTTTTAAATACCACATGTATTTTTGACACGGATTTTTTAAACATACACATTTTTCTTTCAGTAATTATATCATCAACGCTTGAAAAGTTGACATTATCGAGGATAGCGCTTGAAAACTTGAGATTCAACAGCGTAATGTTTGAAAAGTTGGCATTCCGTAGATAGGCGTCTGAAAATTTGGATTTCGGGAGTCTGACGCTTGAAAAGTTGACATTATCGAGCGCGGCGTGTGAAAAGATGACATTATCAAGGATAGCGCTCGACAAGTTGGCATCCCGGAGGCTGGCATCTGAAAAGTTGGCATTCTGGAGGATGGCGTGTGAAAAGGTGACATTCCATAGATAGGCGTGTGAAAAGTTGACATTATGAAGGATGGCGTGTGAAAAGGTGACATTCTCGAGATAGGCATCTGAAAAGTTGAGATTATCGAGGATGGCGTGTGAGAAGGTGACATCATTGAGGTGGGCGTCTGAAAAGTTGGCATCCCGGAGTCTGGCGCTTGAAAAGTTTACATTATCGAGCACGGCGTGTGGAAGTTGACATTATTGAGCATTGCGAATGAAAAGTTGGCATTCGAGAGTCGGACGCTTGAAACGTTGAAGTTGGTGAGCCGAGCATGTGGAAAGATGGCGTTTGCCATAAAGATACCGTTGTATGTGATATTTTCTAAGTCTGTTCGCTCTAATGATATTTTGCTCATTACGGTTTGGATCACTGAAAAACTGAAATCGATGAAAATTATCGTGGTTTTTAAAAATCACGATAAAAAGATCACGATTGAGCTTGTAGTTATAGTATTATGTGGTTTTTTCAAGCGTCATGTGTATATTGTGTTTCAGTATATTTCCTCTTTGCCAGAGATTCTCTTGCCCTCTTTTTGAACAAGAAAATTTCTGCTGCAGTTTGAATTGGCAGTATACTCCATTTCTCTTCGAATTTGTTTTCTCGCTATTTATTGGTTGAACATTAGCTATTATGCAGAGAAAGTACACAAGACATATAGAGAAAACAATGCTAAGAAGATTCGAACGAGGTAGGAAAACGAAAAAATACAAAACTGTTATTTGTTTCATCATGCAAATACGCACATTTCTTTATTAGTTGATCTGGTTTTATAAACGAACAAGTATAGTTGTTGAAATCCCCGTAGATCACATTCCATGTTCCAATTACTTGTTGATTAACACCTAATTCTAAACGTTTTCTTATATTAGCATTTTTTATCTGAATTAAATAATTTTGTTTTATTTCAATTATTGCTTGAATAAAACCTATTCTATGTCCGCCATCTTTGTTGAACAAAACTAATGAGCCAGCGGTTTTTAGTTTCTTTGAGAAAAACCATGTTGTAAACCTTAATGTTCCGATGTAAATCACATGAAATAATTTCAAATCTTTTTCTTGTAATTCTTGTTGCATATTTTGTAAACAGGATGGTAATAAATGAGCTTCATGTGACGGACGTATTTCGTTTGCTTTCGTTAATTTTGTTCGGCCAACCGACTTGGTTGATAAAAGACATTTTGTGAATCTTTTTAGACTTGAACTGAAATCTTGTTCAACAATAAACGAAGCTTTTCTAATCAAATTTAATGTTGTCTCGATTTCCGTTGCATGATTTTTGTTGCTCGTATGGCTGACGTTATTAACGCTAAAAGTGGAAGAAGAAGAGATGACTTTCTCTTTTTGGAAAACTCATCTTTGCTTACCAAGATATGATTCAAAATTAAAAGTGCTGTAGTTTGATATCTGTCCAGCTAATGCAACACTTTGATCGATGTGGTAATTATTATGAACGTTCTGAACATTGTGTCTCACTGAATATAATACAGGAAATAATGTATGGTATTCTTCCATTAATAGACGAATTTGTACTGTGTCTTCTTTTGTAATGGCCCTATTTGACCCTACACTATAGTGTGGTCAGCAAAATATTTTCTCGTCTTATTCTAAATCGTTTGGAATTTATGATTGAATCACAATTGCTAGAAATACAGGCAGACTTCGATCAAATAGATCAACAATTGATGACACTTCAAGAAAAATTAAGAAAAATCAACAACTTGTTCATCCTAATATTGACCTAAATGTTAGAAAGCAGAAGATCGAAACGGTGGGCTCTTTCACCTATCTGGGGTATAACATTGCAAGTGATCAACGATTAGAGAAAGAATTAGAAGTCAGACTATCCAAGTTCGCCATGGCATTTAACATGCTTAGACATGTAATTTGACGTAGAAAATCTATTTCGATATAACCCAGGATTCGATTTTTTAGGCTAGTGTGCTGCTGGTCTTGCTCTACGGTAGGGAGACGTGGTCCCTTACTGTAAAAATCCTGCGTAAAGGTAAGAAACATCCCCAGATATTTGAATACCGACAACCCGCGGGATCCTGCATGAATTTTGATTATTTTTTTCAGTGGGCAAGATTTCACCAAAAACGCGATCATGCTATCGGAGAGAGCATTCAATTTTCTACAAACTGAGCGCAAAAACCTTTTTCTATAAGTGGTAGAAAAGCGCGGAAAATGGAAAACGAAAGCACTGACTGATTCATTTTTTCGCAAGAGAAATTCATATTTTCTATTCTATTTCAGACAAAAGTAAATGGGCTAGCTATGAGATAGACATTTGTAGATATAGTTTTGCATGGTGAATCCAATGGTGAATACCGTAGATCGCTATTTGTCTCAGAAAAAAGTTAAACGCAAAATACAATTCGAGCAAATTCGGCCATCTCAAATAGAAGTGACCTCTATTGCAGTGCCTGTTGTACATACAGTTCCTAACATAGAGACTTGAATTCAGTCTCAAATGAAAGCCCACGTCGAGTTCTATACTCTCCGACCAAAAAGATCAATTCTTATACTCAGGATCCTGAAACAGAGATGTCCCAAAATCCTAGTTTTTCAGAATAGATCCAAGGTCCAAAGAACCTCAGAAAACCTTTTAAATCCAACATTCGATAGTCAGTTCAATTTGTAGCAAAACAAGATGTTTCACAAGCTTTTGAGCCTATAACTTTTGACTAGCAATAGCTAGAGAATTGCGATTTCCGTCATTTGATAGGCAAGACATCGTCACATCTTTATTCAACTGACGAGCTTTCACAAAATTCTTTAAAATCGGTTGTCCAGGAGACCTCTGGGAAACCAAGCCATAACTCTGAAATTCGCAGCATAAACCCATATTTTGGAATTTTTTTTTGAAAAACGAGCGTTGCTGACTACGTATGTTTCATGCAATTTCAATATCACCGCCAGTCACCGAATATCTGTCCTGGGGCTGAATACATGGTTGGATAGAACGCATTGAGTTGAGTATGGAAAACTGGCCTTTAAGGCTTCAAAAAATTTTGAGAGAAGAAATTTCAAAATGCTGAAAAGGGTACGTTTTATCGAGAAACCGCTAGATTTTGAAGAAAAGTTCAAAGTGAGTAAGTAAGTTTTTCACCAAAGTATTAAAATCAACTAAAAATTTCGAAACATATATCATGCGGCTCCGTTTATGACGCTGATCCCAAATGTGATATTTTTATTGCATGAAAGGTAAGTTGTGATGAAGAAAATTGAGAATTACTTTTTTAGCTCCTGATCCTGAAAAAATGAATTTTCTGAGATAAAAAAGAAAAATGATATGTGGGTTTGTTCCTTAACGTTTGGCGATTCGGAAATATTGTCTTCACATCTTACCAGAAAAAACTAGATAGGTTTATAAAATGAGTGAAGAGCAGTTGAAAGGTCCGAAAATCGCTGAATCTATTGAAAATCAACTTACTGAACAGTTTCTTCAATTACTCGATAAAGCAACTTCATTAGCAGAACAATTGTCGAATATTAATCCATTCAAGCCACAAGTGTTTGAACTTATTTCATTCGTTGAACAACAAGATCAGCTAGCATCTTTATCCGATTGAGTTCATTTTGTGATATAGCATCAGAACACATTTTTGTTTTCTCCTCGTTTAGCTTTATTGGGTCAACAAGGAAGCCAATTGTTCGATAATGCAAATTTAGTTTTAGCACAACATCCGATAAATAATGATACGCTCACAACATTAAGTGAATATCTCGATAATGCAAACCTATTATAAGAACAATTTACGAAATGTAGTGATAAAGAAATATTCTCAGCTCTAGTTTCACTTGGAGAATCGTCGATAAATCTGTGTACGTCTCTTATTTATTTGTGCGTGATATTCTTGAAACAGGCTGCATGATGTGTTTTCATTTTAACACCTTGATAGTTGAAGGAGTGACTGGTTCCCATCGAAAAAGAAATGTTGATGCATGTGCTGGTACGTTTAACGGAGTGATCGCTAATGGAACTTCATTAGCACACAGTTGACGGATCCTGATCCATTAAAAGCACCAACCTTGAATTTTATTTCGTTTGCTTAACCCTTTACACCCCCATGGGTCATTTTTGGCCCATTCGTAGAAAGTTTGCAGAAAACAAAGAAAGCATGAGATTCAAAAACTCCCAAGACAATATTTCTAGGGAACTCCATAAGCTATCGACTGGTAGAAAAAAATATTTTATTTCGTTGCTCTGCCTTTGAGATACATGACTTGCAAAATTGATAATTTTGAAAAAATTTTAAAAACAAAACGTTTTTTCATTCACAGGCAGTAGAGATTTCGGGGTGCGTTGTGTGATTTATATCGACGAAAATGTCTACTATTGAACTAAATTCGTTTCAAAAATTTCACAATAGCTTGGGAGATAAGGAATGGTAAGACACAACATGGATCCTGGAACGACTATTGAACAGGAAGAGGGGGATG